ACAAATGTCCACCACCAAGAGAGTTGCTCGGCAGCACCAAGACTGATAAAGCTGGTCAGAGCCTAAAGGACGTAGCTTCTATGCAGCAGATGGTAAGGGAACAACATACTCTCTCATCCTTATCAATGTGCCAGGTGAAATTACTGTCCATGTCAGTATTGGTAAGAATGACCTTGTGAAGATGAAAGTCCTGTCTTCACTTTAAGAATATCTTCCATTGTGTTGTGTGGTACTGTCACCATGTTAAAAGGGCCAGATTTTGAACAGACCTAACAACTCAAGACTGGACATTCATGAGGCACTGAGTGCCATCAACAGGAGCAGAATTGTACTCCAGCACAATCTATAACCTCATGGTCTGGCATGTCCCCCACTCTACTATTGCCATCAAGCCAGGGGAACAACATTGATTCACTGAAGAATTCAGGAGGGCATGCCAGGAGCAGCATCAGGCATACTTGAGAATTGAGGTCTCAACCTGGTGAGGGTACCAAATTGGACTAATTACATGCCGAACAGCAAGTGATAGACAGAACTAAGCGATCCCACAACTAACGGCTCAGATCTAAGCTGTGCAGTGCTGCCACATCCAGTTGTGCATGGTGGTGGATGATTTAAACAATTCACTGGAAGAGGGTTCACAAATATGCCTCTCTTCAATGATGGAAGAGCCCAGCACATCAAAAGATGAGGCTAAAACATTTGCAATAATCTTCAGCCAGAAGTACCAAGTAGATGATGCATCACAGCCTCCTCCAGTGGTCTCCAACATTACACATAGTCTTCAGCCAATTCAATTCACTCCAAGTGATAGCAAGAAACAGTTGGAGACACTGGATGGTGCAAAGCTATGGGCCCTGACAATATTCCGACAGTAGTACTGAAGACTGGTGCTCCAGAACATGCCAGTCCCCTCGCCAAACTTCTCCAGTACAGACACAACACTGCCATCTACCTAACAATGTGGAAAATTGTCAATGTATGTCCCATACACAAAAAGCAGGCCAAATCCAAGCCAGCCAATTACTGCTGCATTAGTCTACTCTCGATCATCAGTAAAGTGATGGAAGGTATGATCAACACCAAGTGTGGGTTCTGCCAGAGCCATTCAGCTTCTGTCCTCATTTACAGCCTTGGTTTAAACATGGACAAACTAACTGAATTCCAAAAGGTGAGGTGAGAGTGACAGCCCTTCACATCAAGGCTGCATTCAATAGTTGTGTAGCATCAAGGACACCTCAAAACTGGAATCAACGGCTATTGGGGGCAAACTCTCTGCTGGTTGGAGACATACCAAGCATATAGGAAGCTGGTCATAATTGTTGGAGGTCAGTCATCTCTGCAGGAGTTCCTCAGGGTAGTGTCCGAGACCCAACTATCTTCAGCCGCTTCATCAATGACTTTCCCTTCACCATAAGGGCAGAAGTGGGGATGTTTGCCAATGACTGTACAGTGTTCAGCACTACTCACGACTCCTCAGATACTGAAGCAGTCCATGTTCAAAAGCAACAAGATACAGACAATATCCAGGCTTGAGCTGACAAGTAGCAAGTAACATTCGCACCACACAAATGCCAGGCTCTGACCATCACCAATGAGAGATAATCTTACCACCATCCCTCAACATTCAATGGTGTTACCATCACTGAATTTCCCCACTATCAACATCCTGAGAGTTACTATTGACCAGAAACTCAAATGGAGTTGGTACATAAACATAGTAATTACAAGAGCAGGTTAGAGACTGGGAGTACAGCAGCAAGCAACTCACCTCTTGACTCCACAAAACCTTTCCATCATCTACAAGGCACAAGTCAGGAGTGTGATGGAATACTCATGATGTGCCTGGATGGATACTGCTCCAACAGTACTTAAAAAGCTTGCCACCTTCCAAGTCAAAGCAGTCCACTTGATTGGCACCACATCCACAAGCATACACTCCCTGTAACACCTAAGATCCTCAGACAGCACCTTCCAAACCCAGGACCCTTCCAACTTGAAGGAGAAGGGCAGCATTTACATGGGAGCACCACTGCAGGTTCTGCTCCAAACCACTTACTATCCTGACTTGGAAATATATTACTGATCCTTCACTGTCACTGGGTCAAAATCCTGGCATTCCCTCCCTAAATGGCATTGGGGGTCAACCTACAGCAGGTGGACTGCAACGGTTCAAGAAATAGCTCATCACCACCTTCTCAAGGGCAGCTAGGGACAGGCAATAAATGCTGGCCAGACAGTGATGTCCATATCCCAAGAGTGAATTAAAAAGAAAACACATTACTCTGTCACCTTCACCACTTGCCTTCCCATCTATTTTGTTATCCACAAATTTGGCTATAGTCCATTCACTTTCCTCATCCAAGTCATTAATATATACTCTGTATAATTCTGACCCCAGCACTGACCTCTGTGGCACACCATTCATTTTCATATGAATGGGTGAGATATTTGGAAGAAACTGAAGTGATTAAGAGTTCTAAAGATTCAATGGACCAGTTGTAGATACAAGGCTATGAAGTGTATGTTGGGAGAGTAATTTTGTCTTCTGTACAGATTTATATCAAGGTGTACACTAGGTTTACAGATCTTGGTACCCTCTACAATATTTTTTAATCCATGTAAAAGCTAGGGTACTGGAGATGCTCACCTAGATAAGGACGAGTCTGTCAGGCAAGAGGGAAAAAAATTAACACCTTTCATATTCACAGAATATTCCAAAGTGTTCCATAGCAAATTTATTACATTTGAAGTTATCATTGTTGCATAGGCAAACATAAGGGCTAATTAGCACAAATAACAATGTAATGGATGATCATGATTTATTTGGTGATTCTGGGTGAGCATTGAAAGTTATAAGGATACCAGGATAAAATTATCTCCTATTCCAATAATGCCGTGGGATCTTGGGTCCACCTGAATAGCAGACAAAGGCTTGGTTGACAACTTAGCTTATTGATGATACATGACACTTAAACACTAAGAACTTATCTCAAATTAGATACCTTGGGTGAGGTAAATCTGTGCTTTCTGGTGCAAATTCAAACTTGGATCCTGTAAAATCGGCCATAGTGAATCATTCATCTCTTATACATCCTATCTGATCTTGCACTTCACTGACTTCAGTGCCATGCAAAGAAAAATAAATTAGGTGTATGTTAATAGGCAGCTGAACCAATCTCTAGTTTTACTACACTGCCTGAATCAAGTTACCTTCTGTGTCATTGAGCCCACAAGACATTAAGCTGGCAAAATATTTCCAATAATGAAAAACCAAGCTCCAAAAGGTGAACAAAATTTAAAATATTTAAATAATACTTCAAAAGAATGTAGCAAAAACAATTACATATCGTAAGTAAAAGTACAACTTTGTGGTTGAATAAATTACCCTGGTTAATTATTTTGCAAAACTACAAGTCTGTATCAAGACTCCACAGAGAACTGTGGATATGAACCCCGAGATCCCTCCTCCTCCACACTGCCAAGAATCTTTCTGCTAACCCTGTATTCTGCTTTCAAATTTGTCCTTCCAAAATGAATCACCTCTCACTTTTCAGGGTTAAACTCCATCTGCCACTTCTCAGCCCAGTTCTGCATCCTATCAATGTCCCTTTGTAAACTAGAACAGCCCTCCGCACTGTCCACAACTGGACCCACCTTCGTATTGTCTGAGAACTTATTAATCCATCTTTCCACTCCTATATCCAAATCACTTACAAAAATCACAAACAGAAGAGGACCCAGAACAGATCCTTGTGGTACACCACTCGTAACTGAGCACCATGTTGAATATTTTCCATCCACTACCACCCTTTGTCTTCTAAGGGTCAGCCAATTCTGAATCCAATCTGCCACATTTCCCCCTATCCCATGCCTCCTTACTTTCTGCATGAGCCTACCATGGGGAACCTTATCAAACGCTTTACTTAAATCCATGTATACCACATCCGCTGCTCCACCTTCATCCACGTGTTTGGTCACCTCTTCAAAGAATTCAGTAAGGTTTGTGAGGCATGATCTACCCCTCACAAATCCATGCTGACTATCACGAATCAAACTGTGCCTATCCAAGTGATCATAAATCCTGTCTCTCAGAGCCCTTTCCAATAATGTGCCCACCACTGAAGTAAGACTAACTGGCCTGTAATTTCCGGGGTTATCCCTATTCCCTTTTTTGAACACGGGAATGACGTTTGCCACTCTCCAATCTTCCAGCACTATACCCGTGGACAGTGAGGATGAAAAGATCATCGTGCGATCTCTTCCCTCGCTTCCTGTAGAATCCCTGGATAAATCCCATTAGGCCCGGTGGACTTATCTATCTTAAAGTTCCTCAAAATTCCTAGTACATCTTCCTTACTAACATCCACCTCCTGTGGCCTGCCAGCCTGGTTCACACTGTCCTTCCCTAGGTTCCTCTCAGTTGTGAACACCGAAGGAAAGTATTCATTGAGGACCTCTACTATCTATTTTGGCTCTGTGCACAAATTCCCTTCACAATCCTTGATTGGCCCTACCCTTTCTCTGGTCATTCTGTTAACATTGTGAAATAGGATAAATTGACTTATTTTGAAGAATGTGTTGAGAACTGTATTATCTAAAATGTTGTTGATTGTCACAGCTCTCAGAATTAATAAGTTGTAGGAAGATGGATTGACCAGAGACCTTATCACGGAGATGGAAGCTCTTAAGAAAATTTTTAACACAAGTTGTGTATTTACAGAGTATCAGCCAGACAGGTACAAGATTTAAGGACTAGTTACATAATAACAATGAATTAACAGTGTGGTAGAGATACGCACCGAGTGCCCTCTTCAACATTTACTTTGTGGCAGAAACACCTAATTTGACAATCTAGAAAATATACCACCATGTCAGAACTGAAAACATATGTACTATGGGCAAATAATGTTCACTGAAATTGTTGGTATGTGACCAATTAAATAAAATTTATAGTAACCAACTAAAAGTCCATTACTCATGCTGTCTTGTTATTACAGGTGCGGAGATATGATTTTGGCTGTCAATGGAAAGAGTACGTCAGGAATTAGTCATCCACGTCTGGTGAAGATGCTGAAGGAAGCAAGGGGAAAGGTTATGCTCACTGTGGTGTCCTGGCCTGGCAGCCACCTATAGATTAGTTACATCAACTTGTCATGAAAAGAACCACAAAGGCTACTAATTCAGCATACAGGCAATAACACTGAAATGGCTTTATATAGTTCTGACAACTTATAAAGCTTACTAGCGTTTTCAGGAGTTCCTTTGCTTTTTAAATTATATTTTCTGATAAAAACTCTTAGTTTAAGCACTCATAGGGACTGGATATTTAAAAATGATTAAGGAACTCAAATCAGTCAATGCATCTTATTCGTGCAATTCTAATCCAGTTGCAGAGGGATTGAAATGTTCACAAGTTTATTGTAATCTTAAACACACAAGTTTTGCTGGTGAATGGATTTTCTTAAACTGATGCTTCAAATGTCGTGGCAAACTTTCAGTAAAATCAAATGTCAATGAACAATAAATGAGTAAGTTTCTTATTTTACCAAAAAAATTGTTGAAAGAATGGCTTATGGCTTGAGTAAATCTTACCACCTCTTAGAACATTCTAAATAGTTAATTAGGTACCTGTACAGATTCCTGATTTACCTATACTGCAAATATGGTGGCCATAATCAACTTGTATTTTCAGGAAACAAGTTATTTATTTGTGCTTACACAGTACTGAATCCTCTATTCAAGAGAGCAGGTGGAATACATACATTAAGCCAGAGAGATTTTAGATGTATACTGAACAGAGGTAAAGAAGTGTTGCCCAGAATAGGAAGTGCAATATCTTCATATTTACTTAATCAGCGTGCATTAAGTAAAATAGGTCAATTATACTAATTCTAGAAGTATTGCAGAAGCCTGCATAACAAAATGCACCATTACCATTATGGCTGGACTCTGCCCCCAGCCAAAGATGTCTGGAGAAAATAAAAATACAGCAAGGACAAATGACTGGTACTGTAAGATAGAAGTGTCCTGTAATAGAATCTTCAGGAATACTAAATCTCCAATTTACAATTGGTAAAAGTAAAACAACCAGTTTTAAACAAAAAACAAATTTTATTAATCTTCAATAAACTAATACAAGCATTGTAATTATGTTTTAATAACATAGTAGATGCTTAAAAGCACCACACACCTCAACAGTCCTTTGAAATAATTTTGAATTTCTGACTTCTGCAGAAATTCCATTTAGTAAATTACCATTACCTGAACAATTTTCAAGCATTTCCAATATTTTCCTTCCCAACCTTGGCATTATAACCAAAAAAGGAAGGGACCAGAGATTTAATTGCTGCTAGCAGCTTCACTGGGCTCTGGCTCCTGGGAAATTTCCTCACTGGCTTCTTTATCTTCCTTGCTTCGTTTAGATTTCTTGTGTTTGTGTCGTTTATGGCCATCCACCTCTTCACTGTCATGACGCCGTCTGCTGCTGCTATGGAAGAGAATTTATTACTGTCACTGCTCTGCTATTGGCAACATCTATTTCTCAAATCACACTTCTCACAGATCAGAATTTCCACAAGACGTTACGATACCTATTCAAATCCACAGATTTCAGATTACACACAACAAAAAAAAAAATTTAGAGCTAGGAGGTCTGGAACATGGTTCAAACTCAGGTGACTAGTTGAATGAAATACAATTTTCAGATTCAAGCTGGAAGTCAGGAACATTTTCCACAGGTTTACGAGCAATTAGAAAATCCCTGCTGCATTGCCTACAATTTTCATATACACAGTGCACAACTTTGGGGTATTAATCCGCAAAGTGGAGTGACAGTGGCCATTTGTGATGGGGGTGGGGGGTACCTGGACTCAAATTTCACTTTAATTAACAGATAAAAGCACCCCTACTACTTACAAGCATCTTCACTGCAGTGAGCTTGGGTACTCTTCGATCCAGTTATTTTTCAAAACCCATCAACCATGTAGAACTAATTTTGAAAAACTGTCAACATTGTTCAATGGTTTTGATGGGAATGAAGAAATGGTACAATTTTGTGATGACGTGCTTTAAAGAAGTTTGGAGTCAGCCAGGATGTTTGGTTCGGACACAGACAACATATGAACATACATCAAAAAAACATTAGGAGCAGTAGGAGGCCATTTAGTCCCTCTAGTCTACTCCTTGATTCAACACGAGCGATTCAACACGCTGATTGAGGCCAGAAACCAATGCCACATTCCCAATTAACCCTAATAACCTCTGGCTCCTCGATCAGTCAAGAATCTATCTCTACCTTAAAAATATCAACTCTATCTGCTATCTGGCAAAGATAATTTCCAGAGACTCACGACTGTCAGAAAATACTCCTCAATCTGAGTTTCAAAACCGTATCCGCATCTGTTCAGCCTCCACCCTGTCAATTCCTAAAAAGATTTTGCAGGTCTCAATAAGATTACCTCTCATTAGTTTAAACTTCAATACATACAGTCTAAACTGTCCAACTTTTCCTCAATGTAATCCCCATCCTAGATATCAATCAAACAAATCTTCTCTGAACTGCCGCCAATACATCTTCACCCTTTCTCAAATAAGGAAAATAAACCTTGCACAGTACTCCATATACAGTTTCACAAATGCTCTGCACAAGTGCAGCAAAACATCCATACTTCACAGTCAGAGAGTCATAGAGTGATACAGCATGGAAAATGGGCCCAAACTGGTCCATGCTGACCATGGGGCCCACTCAGCGAGTTCCAATTGCCCACATTTGGTCCATATCCCTCTAAACCCTTCCCATCCATGTACCTATCCAAAAGTTTTTTAAATGTTGCTATTGTACCTTCCTCAACCATTTTCTCAGGCAGCCCATTCCATATACACTCATTCTCTGCATGAAGGCTTTGCCCCTCAGGTCATTCTTAAATCTTTCCCCTCTCACCTTAAACCTATGCCCTCTAGTTTTCAATTCCCCATCTCTGGGAAAAAGACTATATGCATTCATCCAATCTATTCCCCTCATGATTTTATACATCTTAGTAAGGTCACCCCTCATTCTCCTATGTTCCAAGGAATAAAGTTCTATCCTGGCCAACCTCTCCCTATAGGGCGGCACAGTGGTTAGCACTGCTGCCTCACAGCGCCAGCAACCCGGGTTCAACTCCAGCCTCGGGCAACTGTGTGGAATTTGCACATTCTCCCTGTGTCTGCTTGGGTTTCCTCTGGGTACTCTGGTTTCCTCCCACAGTCCAAAGATGTGCCGGTAACTTGCCCGTAGTGTTCAGGGATGTGTAGCTTAGGCGGGTTATGGGGGGGGGGGGGGGAGAGAGGAGCTGGATGGGATGCTCCAAGGGTCAGTGTGGACTTGTTGGGCCGAAGGGCCTGTTTCCACACTGTAGGGATTCTATGATAACCCAGGCCTACTAGTCCTGGCAAAGTCCTTGTAAGTCTTTTTTGCACACTTTCTAGTTTAACTATGTCTTTCCTACAACGGTGACCAAAACTGTACACAATACTCCAACAGCGGTCTCACCAACGACTTATACGACTGGAACATAACATCCCAACTCCCGTACTCAATGCTTTGACCAATGAAGACCAGCCTGCTAAATACCTTTTTCACTACCCTGTCTACTTGTGACACTGCTTTCAACGAACTCTATACTTGTACTCCTAGGTCCCTCTGTTCCACAACACTCCTCAGGACCTTACCACTTACTGTACAAGTCCTACCTTGGTTTGACTTTCCAAAGTGGAACACCTCACACTTACCTGCATTGAGTTGCATTTGCCAATCCTCAGCCCACTTCCCCATCTGATCAAGATCCTTCTAATTTTTGATAACCTTCCTTGCTATCAATGATACCTCCTAATCCACAAACTTACTAATCACACCTTGACATTCATATCCAGATCATTTATGTAAATAACAAATAACAAAAGATCCCAGCACTGACCCATGGCACACCGAGAAACAACCTTCAACTATCACCCTCTGCTTCCTATCATCGAACCAGTTTTGAATCCAATTAGCTAGCTCTCCCTGGATCCCATGCGACCTAACCTTCATGACTAGCCTGCCGTAAGCAACCTTGTCAAAGGCTTTACTAAAGTCCATATAGACAACATCCACTGCCCTACCCTCATGTATCCTCTTGGTTACCTCTTCGAAAAACTCTAAAAAGATTTGTCAGACATGGTTTCCCACGCACAAATCCATGCTGACTAACCCTAATCAAACCTTGACTATCCGCATGTTGGTGGATCCTGTCCCTCAGTATCCTCTCCAATATCTTGCCTACCACTGATGTCAGGCTTGCTGGCCTGTAGTTCCCTAGTTTGCCTTTGCTACCTTTCTAAAACATTGGAACAACATTAGCCACCCTCCAGTCTTCTGAAAATTTAGTATTCCATAATATGCTACTTTTTTATTCCTCGTGCCAAAGTGGGCAAGCTCACATTTTCCTGTTGCGTTTCAGCTGCCAAATTGTTGCCAAATGACCTAACATACCTATATCATAGCATCATAAAATCCCTACAGTGTGGATATAGGCCAATTGGTCCAACAAAGCCGTTTCTCCGAAGAGCATCCCATCCAGAATCAGACCCCCCTACCCTGTTCCTGTAACCCTGCATTTCCTATGGTTGATCTACCTAACCTACACATTCCTGGGCACTATGGACAATTTAGCACAGCCAATCCACCTAACCTGCACATCTTTGGATTGTGGGAGGAAACCGAAGCACCCGGAGGAAACCCACGCAGACACGGAGAGAATGCGCAAACTCCACGCAGACAGTTGCCAGAGACTGAAATTGAACCAGGGTCCCTGGTGCTGTGAGGCAGCAGTGCTAACCACCAAGCCACCGTGCTGCCCCTTTGCAGACTCTAGATCCTGTTCATACTGAGCTTTCTTACCTATCTTTGTATCATTAGAAAATTTAGCAACCATATATTTAGTTTCTTATCTAAATGATTGATACAAGTTGTAAATAGCTGAGGCTCTAACAATGATCCCTGTGGCATTCCACTCATTACATCTTGCCAACCTAAAAACTAACCTCTGCTTCCTTTAAGCCAATTAATCCTCTCTACACATCCGATTATGTTAGTCCTTAGATGATGAACTCTTGCAGGATAACCTCTGATGTGACATCACGTTGAATGCCTTCCAGAAATAGAAGGGCATTACAACTATGGGTCACCCTTTATCTATGTTGCTTGTAACTTTCTCAAAGAACTCCAACAAATTAGTAAAACATAATTCTCCTTTCACAAAATTGTACGGGCTCTGCATTATGATTTTCTAAGTGCCTTACTATAACCTCAATAATAGATGCTAGCATTTTTGCATGACAGACGTTAGTTCAACTGGCTTGAGTTTTTGGCTTTCTGTCTCCC